CGTGAGATGCAACACTACAATATCCAACTCTATTTCTCCTTTACACCGCAGATATTCCCACGAACGAGCGGCTAACTACTTCTACATTCGCAGACGATACCGCGATCTTAAGTCGGTCCAAATGCCCAATTCAGGCAACAGCACTATTAGCTGATCATCTCGTGGTAGTGGAGAGGTGGTTATCAGACTGGCGTATAAAAATAAATGCGCCAAAGTGTAAACACATAACGTTTACTCTTAACAAACGTGCCCCCCGCAAACTCTGAATAACACGCCACTTCCACAAGCTGACGATGTAACGTACCTTGGCGTCCACCTTGACAGAAGACTTACATGGCGGAGACATATCGAAGCTAAGAAAATTCATCAAAAACTAAAATCAAATAACCCCCATTGGCTCATAAACGCTCGCTCCCCCCTCTGCCTGGACTTCAAGGTTCTGCTCTACAATTCAACGCTTAAGCCAGTCTGGACTTACGGCTCCCAATTGTGCTGGTCGAGTAACATCGACATTATCCAGCGAGCACAATCAAAAATCCTGAGAACTATCACTGGGGCACCTTGGTATATTCGGAACCCCAGCTGTTATTCTGCTGGGAATGTGGCCGCAGAGGCCTGCGTACCTTCGAATGCTACCGAAGACCAGAGTCGGGAAACGAGACCGGTTCGAGCAGTTGGGGACCGCTGGAGGAACCCGGGAATCTCCCCGAGTCAGTAAACCATGTCTTAAAGTTCGAGCAGGAGAGGATCCGGGCTCTGGTCGTCATCGACGGGCAAACATTCTTGGCCACACTAGACACCGGCGCGACTAGAAGTTTCATCAGTGAATCAAGAGCAGTGAAGCTCAACCGTGGGAATAACTGGAGAAGGGTACGTACGAGGGTTCAACGTGACCTCACTCAAGCACAGATGGCAGACATTCAATTGGGAGAAAACCAAGTCAGGATGCCCCTCTTAGTTGTGCCAACAGTACTCGATGACCAACTACTGGGAGTAGATTTCTTTTGCGGCATTTAAGCCACCCTTAGCTGTGGAGGGGATCACCTACACCAGGGATCCACAACTGAAACCGCCAACTGGTCCACTGGAACGCAAGGATTACCAGCGAGGTAACCTAACGCGGCGTGCGTGGCAGTCCCTCCTGGCTTAGCAGGAACGCAAGGATTACCAGCGATGAACGGCGCACTTAACGAGGCGTGCGTGGCAGTCCATCCTGGATCACCAGTGGCACAAAGTTCACCAGCAAGGCACGGAGCATCGAACTCGGATCCAGCCGAGGAACACCCAAGAAAATCTAGACGACGACGACGCTTACAACAAGCAAGGACCAGCAGCTTAGGAGTAAGTCCAAGCGAGGAACCACTGACGTATAGCTCCCACAAGCAGACCCTTAGTGGCTACCAGCCGACGGCACCTGCACCTGAAGAGGCCCTGGCCACCGTTAGCACCACGAAGGATTCGGGAAACTGCCCGGGAACAACAGACCCACGGGTGCGAGCCTTCCTTGAGTTTGAGTTGAGCAGATTTGACAACCTCACAGGGATATCCAGTATTGCGGAACATCATATCGTCATGCGGGATGACAAGCCCATAAATCAGCGGTTCTACCCTAAAAATCCCGCTATGCAAGTCGTTATTAATAAGTTTATGAGCTGCTACGCGATGGTCGCATCGAGCCACCCAGAGTCCCCATAGTGCTCCTATAGTGCTTGTTGGGAAAAAGACTGGTGATATCCGGACTATCGCTAACTTAATGCGCGGTCAATACCCGATGTCCATCCGTTACCTCGAATCCATCACATTTTGGAACGATTGCGTAACGCACGGTTTATCTCATGCTTATGTTATGCTTACATGGTAACCGAATGGTCGGCCGCGCATGCAGACATGCCGACTCAGCATTTAGGATGTGCATAACATTGTTGTGTGGGTCGAATTGCTTTGCACTTGAAGTGCTGGGAATATTCGCACATAAACAAATGCTACAATGTTACAGTGATATAAGCGGTACAGTGTATACCCTATATGTGAGCATACTACATCTCCCTCCTTTTGAAAAATAACGTAATCTATGGAGTTATTTTGTTAATTATTGTGTTAAGTATATATATATATGTCTGTTTATAAAAATTAGCAAATTAGTAAAACCTTTTTTTTTTTTATTATTATTATTTTTTTTTTTTGGTTAATATAGTAAAAAGAGGAAAACTTAGTGAAGTTGAAACTTTGAAAATTTATGCGACTATTTCTTATTATTTACTATAACAATTTTTTGTGTATTTGTAATCCTATATTTTTATTATAGTAAAGTAATAAAAATTTTTCTTTTTTTTTGAAGAGAAAATTTTGATGTTATTTTATTTTTTTTTCTTATGAATGTCCATCCTACAAAATCTATTCTATAAAAATTTTAAATCTATCTTTATGAACAGTCTGTGTTTTGTTTTTTGCATTTAAAATAGTTATATTATTATTGGATTCTATCTTCTTTACTATATATGGTCCTGAATATTTAAAGTCTAGCTTATGGCCAGTTTCATTTTTTAATAAAACCTGATATCCTATTTTTAATTCAAAGTCTAAGCTATTTTTGTCGTATCTATCTTTTTGTTTTTGTTTATTAATTTCTAGCATTATTCTGGCTCTTTTATATGCCTGTTCTAATCTAAATTTAGATTCCTTAGCATAATCTTCTATATTATATAATGGTTCTATTCTATCTTTGCTATTGAAATGTTTTGATAAGTTTGGAGTTTTCCCAAAAACTAGTTCGTATGGACAATAATTGTGTGCCATAGAGGGTGTTGTGTTAAAGCAGTATACGAAGTATTGTAGTCATACATCCCAATCTGTTTTATCAACTGAGATGTATGAGCGTATGAACTCGTTAAGTGTTCTGTGGCTTCGCTCCACTGTTCCGACAGTCTTTATGTTTTTGATATTTAAATTTTTACATAAATCTTCAATTATTGAATTTTTATATTCTGTTCCCATGTCCGTAATGAACGTCTTCATTGGACCGTACTTCAGAATAAAGTCTTCGAATATAGCTTTTGCTATTGTTTTTGCACTTTTATTTTGAATTGGTATTGCTACAAGGTATTTTGTTAAATCGCAGATTAAAGTAACTGCGTATTCATTCCCTTGTTCAGACTTAGGTAGTGGACCGACCCTGTCGAAAGCTGTTTGTGGTGTTTCCGTAATGGTTAATGGGGTCTTCGTATGCGTGAATATTTTCGCTTTTTGACATTTTAGACATTTTCGTACGTACTCTGTAATATATCGAGTCATTCCTTTCCAAAATTAATGTCTTTTGACCATGGCCAAGGTTTTAGAAATGCCAGTATGACCTCCTTGAATTGGTTCATCATGGTATGTAGACATAATTGCTTCTTTTTCTTTTTCAGAATTTATTAGGGTCACCGGGTTGAGTAGCGCTACTCTCAATGATTTTAATGTTTTATTGCCCATTTCCTTGAAATTATCTATTGAAACGTATTCAAAGATATTTTCCCACGGCGCCACTTTGAGTTGGCTGATTTGATGTATACCTGCTTGCTTCTCAAGCCTTTGGAAAAACTGACCTAAGTCAAGGACTCCATTGGTATATAAATCGCTAGCATCATATTTTGCAGTAACTTTTTTTCCAAGTTTAAATAAACATAGCATATTTTTTACGTGCAAGGTCACTACTTTACGTACTTCGTCATTGTTTATGACTCCGTATACGTTGGGCTTTGAAGCTTTTTCTATAGATTGCCTAGGCATCCTATAACTATTAAGTCATCCATATAAAGGAATGCTTGTGAAGGTTCAAGTCCAGAGAATGCAATAGTCATCATTCTCTGAAATGAATTTGGCGCTATTTTTAAGCCAAAAGGTAATCGTGTGAATCGATACGAGCCATTGCTCGTTGAAAAGGAAGTTATATCCCTTGAGCTTTTTTCTAGTTCTATTTGGTGAAATCCTGACATTAAATCAAGACATGAAAAGTATTTTGCTCGACCTAGTTGATCTAAAATATCATCAATTCTAGGGAGTTGAAATTTATCGGACAGTAATTTTTTATTAATCTGACGATAGTCAATTACTAATCGCCATTTTTTTTCTTCGGAACCTGGAGCTGATTTTTTAGGGACAAGCAATAATGGGCTATTGTATTCCGATACTGAAGGTTCGACTATCCCGTCGGTGATTAATTTTCCGATTTGCTTTTGAATTTCGTTCACCTGACCATGTGGGCTTCTATAGTTTTTTATGTAAACGGGTTCATCATCTTTCAATCTCAGTTTTTGTTTGTAGAAATTATATGTGCTAATTGGTTCGGATTCTAATCCGAATATGTCATTATATTTTTTACATAAATTTGTGAGTTGGAATTTGAAAAATTTTCTGACAATTGGGATAATACAGACTTTTCTCTATTTTCTTTGTTTTCTTCGACTACTTCATAGTTCAACAGTCATTCATATTCTAAATTGTCCGCACTGACCACTTTATCTTCGTTTGTTGTATTCAATTGCTCAATTTCTTGAGTTGGAATTAATACACTGTCCTCTTTTGAATTTAATTTTATTTTTCTAATGACTTGTGATCTTGCTGGAAGAAGAATTGAGTTATTGCCAGAACTGTATTCTATTGGAACATAAATTGGAAATTTTAAATTGGTTGGTCTTATTATAAGCCAATCTTCAGATGGCTGAACATCTAATTGACAGTTGTATTTTTTAATAAAATCAATCCCTAAAATGCCATCACAAGGGACAGCTAAGTGTAAGTCTACGATATGAAAATCGTGTGGAATTATGTACTTGGTAGTCTGTATTTCAATTGATGTTAAGCCTTTGGATTTAGTAATTGCTTGGCTTATTCCCCGTATATTATTTTGTACGTTTTGAAATATATCGGAATTTTCTTTTACCATAGATATTTCGGCACCACATGGGTGAATGAGACGAGTATATTCTGACTGAGATTAATAGTATGGACCGTTACTTTCTCTACTGTTGAACATTTAAAGGGGGTTCGGAGTTTCCCGACGTGTCATTGGCTACTCTTACATTGCTTGTATTGTTGTTATTGTAGCCTCCGCTCGAGTTGCCACGTCCCCTTGAGTTTCCTCTGTAGTTGCCGCGACCATTGTTTTGGTTGGTATTATTGTAGTAACCATAATTGTTACCACGACCACGAAAATTACCTCTACCTCCACGTCCGCGGTTTCCGCCGCGCTGTGTATAGTTGTTGTAGTAGAGGACCGAATTGTTTACGAATTTTGAAATTACGTCGTTCATTGTGTTGAAGTTGCCGGCTTGCATGATAAGTTTAACCTTATCAATCGTGCAGTTTTTAGTCATTGCTTTTACTGCGTGCTGTGTGGAATAACTTCTTGCTAGTTCTAGTGTTAAGCCTTCGTCATCTGCTCAATTTTTGATGTGTATTGATTAGCAGTTTTATTTCGTTGCTGTAGATTCATTAGCTTTGCTGACAATACCTCTACAGTTTCGCCTTTGACGTTGCTTTTTAACTTGGCAATTACTTCACCTACCGTTGTTTCGTTTCCAATTAGATTTCTTACTACGCCCTTTAGTTTTGTCTTTATTATAGAGACAGTTAGGCTTTCGTGTTCGCCTTTTATTGACTCTATAATATGCAATGCATCAATGAAACTGGTTAAGTTTTCTGCTTTACCATCGAAAACTGGTATAAGCTTTGATGCAGTGTTAATGAAGTCGATATTTGTTTGCGCCATTTCGAAGTTATTGTTCTTAGTTATGTTTGCGCTTGAGTCTGAGTCTGAATCTTTTTTATTATCTGCGTTTGATAATAGAACGGCTGGGATAGTAAGATTATTTAAATCTTCTTCCTTAATTTCCGCGTTAAAATTTTCTTGCTCCGTTTGATCTACACCAGTTGCCTCTTCCAATGTTGATTCTTCATCGGTTTCAACTGTTATTGCGGTATTAAGAATGGTAGGTTTAGAGGTATCTAAATTGAATTTTTCTTTTATCAATATTAGGTTTTCTCTGAGCCTTTGCAAAAATTTTGATAGCCTTGACCAATGGTCGTCATTTAATTTTCCTCGTTGCCCATGTATTAATATGCGCGCCTCGTTAAAACAATTTACTACTAATTCTGCGTGTTTTTTTATTGTGCTCCCTTGAATTGGTTTGTTCTGATTAAGGGATTTGTAGGATTTATCGAGCTCTGTTTTTATTTTGTTCAATTTCGCATATAAATCGTTCCAATATTATCTATGTAATTTTACCATAAGGATCGAGGTTTCACCGAGTTTTATTGTAAGCAAACAAAAGGCTAAATTCCAAATTGTACTTTTCCATATAGTTATATTCGAATTCAGTGATTGTAATGAAGTTTTTATGGCAATGGAGAATGTTTAATGCACGCATTCTAAATTCTGGATCTTTAGTAATTATTTCCTCAAGACAGCTATCCAATTTTATCGTGTTAAATGCCATAATTTAGACAAAAAAATAATTTAAAATTTTTTTTTTAATAGGGTGGTATTAAATTGAACACTCTAATCTTTTGAAATTTTTTTTTTTTTTATATCTTATCTATATTGTGTGCTCTACTTAAATACTTCTTCTTTAAACATTTATTGTTCAATTTGTATATTTTGGTAACAAAATTTGCGCTCAAGATGACAACGATTATTATTAAGAGTATATGTACCCAATATAGCTCAATATTGTTTGGTTCTACTTTATTAATAACGTTAGCAGTGGAGTCCACTGACTTAACGTCTACGATTCCCATTTTGGGTAGATATATTATTATTAATTACTATGATTTTCGTCAGAGAATTTATATATTCTATTGTTATTCATTCATATGAAGAGATTTTATATGGATATACGTAAATATTCCTGTCTAGCTTTTAAAGTCTGAGGAGCACTTAGCAAAATAACGTCATCAAACAAATATGTAGGAATTTAGTTATTCAAAACTGATTGATTAAATTATTGTGTTCTGGCATAATCGCATAAATTTCATTTTATTAAAATTGAAAATTGGAAGAAAAAAAAATATTGTGTTAATATTCATATAACTGATTTCCAATATTTTGCTCTATATAAACCAATATCAGTTATATGTTGTTAGTATATAGTCTAACAGTGGTTAGTATTTTTCGAGCAGCGCTTTCGCGCATCGGCTCGGGTTTAGAAGTTTATAGTTAAAGACAACTTAGGCATTGGCATAAATGCAGCCCTTGTTGCGTTATTTTGCTCGTTTACAAAGTAATTTGTCCAGTTCTTTAATGTTTCGTGCGTGTGCTTCCTTTTCCTGCGGGATCGTTGCTATATCCCTGTAGTCCTTCAGTAATCGTCTCTGTTGCAGGAGTTTTACCCTTTTTCCACTTCTTTTTCTTTTGTGGATGGGTTTTCTGGACTCCTGTCGTGCCCTGTACTCAGCTATTGTGAGGGGGCGAGGTCCATCGTTGGGACACCATTTTAGGGCCTCTTGTAAGGTTGTTGCGTCCCTTTGCTCAACAGGAACAAGTGCCTCCCACGACGGTGCAAAAGACGGACTGCCTGCCGCACTCTTCCTTCGTTGGTGTAGCCGGCGGTCTGCCTACCACACTTCAGTTTCCATCGTTGGTGCAGAAGGATTTGCCACTCCTTCCACACATGTCCTGGTCAATTTTCTTTATTTTTTCTTCCTTACCTTTTTTTTTTTGTGTTGATTTTTTTTTTATTGTTTCTGTAGTCCGGGCCTTTTGGGCTCAGGCGGCGCCGGTGCTGGTCATTGCACAGGCTAATTACTGTTGATTTTTTTTTCTGGCTGCAGATTTCGATTGACGACTTTCGAAGGCGGCTCTGGAGAACCTAACATTGGACGGCCACACTTGTTAAGCACTGGCCCTAATTAGCCAAACTCGCCGATTTACGCATTTTGGGGCCAAAATAACGAAAATTACACAGCGCGCAGAGATAACAATTAAACCGTCTCATTTTCTACTAGCGCATATGTCACGGTCGCCATGTAATGTTGGTTGTATGTATATAAGACTTTATTTTATAAACACAAGAAAAGAGTGCACTGTAATGTTATTATATATATTGGGCTTTATTATTCCGTCCGTTTAGATCGGGACTCATTTTTAGAATGCTCACTTAAGAATAATGTTGGCTTGGCTTACAATTCATATAGCTGCACGAGAAGCGCCGCAGCCAACGCTTATGTATCTGAATATATATGTTAATGTATACGTAAGTGTATTTAGGCGGCGCCAGCAGCGGCCACGCATGAGAGAGAGAGTGTTATGCTCACATGGTAACCGAATGGTCGGCCGCGCATGCAGACATGCCGACTCAGCATTTAGGATGTGCTTAACATTGTTGTGTGGGTCGAATTGCTTTGCACTTGAAGTGCTGGGAATATTCGCACTTCACTGAGCTCCAGTCACGCTCTCGACAGCGTCATAGGACCGGACATGGAGCCACATGCGTTCGCTTATCTAGATGATATCATAGTCATCGGTACTACCCTCGAAGAACACGTGGAAAATCTTCGAGAAGTCTTCAAGCGACTTTACAAGGCGAATCTGAGGCTCAACAGGGAGAAATGTATTTTTTTCCAGCGGAGTTTGAGTACTTAGGACACGTCATAAGCGAAGCAGGGATACATACTGACCCGGACAAAATCGCTGCAATCAGCCGCCCTCAAATCAACGGGAGTTACGTCGTTGCCTTGGTGTCGCGTCATGGTATATACGATTCGTACCAAACTTTGCAACCATTGTGGAACCCATGTCCACGCCTCTCAGGAAAGGCAGAAAGTGGAGCTGGAATGAGGAACAGGATCAGGCCTTCGAGACTTTTGAAGACCCGGCACCCGTTCTCGCATGCCCCGACTCTGCTCAGAGTTTCTCTCTACAGACTGACGCTAGCGAACATGGATTGGGCGCAGTGTTGACCCAGGCCATCGACGGAGTAGAAAGGGTTATAGCCTACGCCAGCCGCCGATTAACCCGGAGCGAGGGAAATTACTCCGTAAGAGAAAAGGAGTGCCGTGCCATAGCGTGGGCCATTCGAAACATGCGGTGTTATCTGGAGGTTTATCGGTTTGAGGTAGTGACCGATCTTCTGGCCCTAAAATGGTTAAACTCCATTGACAACCCTACTGGACGGATAGCAAGATGAGCACTGGATCTCCAGCAGTACCAAATCGATGTCCGATATCGTCGTGGGAAGCTCGACATCATCGCGGATGCATTATCCAGGCAACCACTAGACACGGTGCAGCAAGTCTAAGTAGAAGCCCCAGAACGCAAATGGATTAAGAAAATGATTAAGCTAGTGACCCAGCCGGAAAAATTCCCGGACTACCGCATCGAGCGAGAACAGTTTTACCAAAGGATTGGAACATTACCCGACGAGGAGGACGGAACTCCCTGGAAACTTTGTGTTGGCCGAGACTATCGCCTTCGAGTACCACGAATGTGTGAGTAGCCCGAAAATACTACTGGCCGGGATTATTTCGAGAGGTAACCCAATACGTTCGCCGATGCCTAACTTGCCAGAAATACATGGTGAGTCAGCTAAAGCCAGCGATGTTTACCCGTCAAGTGGAGGAACCTTTTAGTGTCGTCTGCGCTGATTTTACGGGACTCCTTCTCCGCCTCGGCATGGGAACACCGTCTTACTCGTCTTTCTGGACGTTTTCACCAAATGGGTGGAACTGATCCCACTTCGAAAAGCCACGACAGCACTTTTGGAGAGAGCATTTAGGAATAGGATCATCAGCCGCTTCGGGACCCCAAAACTCATCGTGTGTGGCACTCAGTTCAGGTCCTTCCAGACGTTTTTTAAGGGTATGGGAATGGAACACCAACGCACGGCCCCCTATAGTCCCCAACAAAACCCTACCAAAAGGAAAAGGGTACAGAACCTAGACTGCCAAACACCTTGTTTGATCAGATCACTCCGGATCAACCCGCAGATCACCCGACCCCGAAAAAAAAGGCAGAGTGAATGAAACAATTGTTTCAAGCCGTCAGGTACAACGCTGCACGAGCATCGGTCGAACAGAGTCGTTATTACAACATTCGCAGCCGGGAGTGGCCTCCGAAGGATTCACTGCCAAGCTTGCAGCCCAATAAGATGGACCCTTTACTTTAAGGTCCACAAGTTCCTTTCCCCAAACCTCATCCAATTACAGGTTCCGGGAACTCGACGATGCCGCATCGCCAGCCTCAGCGACTTGAAAGAATAATACCCCGACGACACCGACAAGGACAACGAACGGGCAGAGCAGGCACCGACACACCATGACAGCGTTTACAACCCAGGAATACGAGACTACTTGTAAACTAACGCTCGCGCCACCGCAA